CATTAGTGTATAATCACCTGAATATAGGAATTGTTGTGTTTTTGTTACCTTAGAATGAGTCATTTTTATCTACAGACGTGGGTCTCCTTCCATGGAGTCCGCCATGTTTCTACAGTAACCCAGAATGGACAAACTGAACACTTGCTGTAGGGCCTTTTGCGGCTACTGTAGTTTCTCCTACACACTTCACAGATGTCAGTAGTGTTCAGTTAGTTGTAATCTGCAATTCACCACTAGATGCCACTAAATCCTACACAGTGGTCCTTTAAGCTCAATAAAAAGATTTTTATTGTTACTTTTACCATGTGAGAAATGTCATCAAGGCGTGTGAACTCATTGAAGCTGATGGTAAGATGCCGCAGAGCTGTAAGGCGGGAAATCTCCTTTATTTTACTCAAACTGTTGCCATGAAGGTTCAGCACCTGGAGATTTGATACATTGAAGATGGTTTATTGCGAGTGTATGGCTTCAAAATCAATTATCAGTCATTTGAGAAGCCGGAATACTTACAGTGATCTGACTGAGGACATTGGCTCTGGCCACATTCAGTAGAATTTTATCATCTAAGCTCAACAACTTGGGCTGTGGTTTCAGCACAGGTTCCATGTTGAGGACTTCCTTGTCTAGGATGATATCATTGGAAGGAGTATTATCTCTGCACGTGCTGTGGCCCGACAATGCAGGTTGTTCTCGATCCTAGTAACAACATATCAAAAAGCATGTGACTTTGCCAGAGGTACATAATTACTGACTTGTGGTGGGTGTGCAACTAGAGAAAAGACATAAATATCAGAATGATGTTCTATCATCTGTGAGTTTTGGTTAAAGCCATGCTTCTGAATTTTGATTGCATCAGAGCTCAGCATGACAATTGAGTTATTTTGATTTGTTCTCAAATGAAAAACTAAAGTTAAAAGAGACTGTTGAGTTCTTCGAGCCAGTCTGCATTCAGTAGATGGAGATGTACAATAACAAAACCAATAAACTAATTACCCCACTGATGTATTCAAAATATATGATGTACTCAGGTAGGACAAGCTCATGCTCAAACATAAACCACTGCCTTCGGCGGGGAGTGCACTCAGGACCAGTTTGTGCTTTGGAGGAGCGGGGTCTCTCTGAATGAAAAACACAGAGAGGTAATGACATTGTATGAATACTGACTGAAAAATAATATGTTTTTATGGCTTGTAAAATACCGCATACCTTCACCCACTGCAGTTCTTTGCTTAGTGTCCACATTGCGATACACAGAGTAGGCTCTGTGATGGCTGCTTCTGTCCACCCGTTCTCCCATGCGAACAGGCATGCTCTGGCCCACAAACACTTTAGAAACAATAATCTGACCTATAGGCAAAAAACATTACCACTTTAGTTATTAAGAGAGAAACAAACTAATAGTTAAGGGGGATATAAGTACATAATATTCTAAGCAAAACTAACTCACCGTGCCTGAAGGGGATTGTATCCGTACTGTGCTTGGAATCGCCTTGTCTGGCCTGACGCAGTGCATGTTCAATTCTGGGCTGTTCGGTCACACTCAGGCTATTGGATAAAGGTATACCTTCTCTCTCCAAAGCCTAGTTAAGAGTCAACATGGTAAAAGTCTGCATGTAACATAATAGTGTTATGAAATTTCACACTAACAGAACTTTTCCCTTCTTCTATTATTCATTGAATTCTATTTAATAAAAAAAGTCCTCTTAATGCTCAGTGGAATAAATTCTGGGTGATGGGACTGACTATTGTGTGACGGTGGACTTTTGAACTCCAACAGTAACAATAACATCAGTATACACACCTTATATTGTTCAGCTGTTTTGAAGCCTTCCTCTACAATGCACAAAATTTCTTCCCTCTCACTGCCTTTTTCAGGGTCAGCTGTGTAGAACAAGTGCTCCAGCCGACGTCTGTAATTCCTGCTTTTAAAGTGTACATTAGATTCAAAGTAATAGTGGACAGTCCTGTTACTGTTAAAATGGTGACAATAGTCATTTTAAAATGTCTGTACATTATTGATAAAAACACAGCAATGATCATCTTTTATCACTTTAACTTACTGTGTAGTTGCAGACTCATCGCTGGCTAGAAGGGTGTGAAGTTTGTCCTCAAAGCGAAGCCTCAAAGCACTGTTGTGGATGCGGATAACTCTATTGATCTTAATGCCAGTGATGCCATGCACCTTGAAGTCTGAATGAGAGAAGCGGGACAGCAGGAGGTCGCAACAGGAAGTAAACCTGTCGGGTACATAACATAGATACTATGCGTTAAGGGAAGCCTGCTTTTGATTTGTAACTCTGTAACTGTGAATTTACTGATGAATGTAATTGTACTTAATACCAAGTATGTGTTATGTTTACTGGGGGACCGGTCCCATATACCAAACATATCCAAGTGTGCATTTTCTGTTATTATTGTGGGTGTAATAACAGTCTGTCGAGTTATTTTAAGAAGAAAACAACAGCTCCAGAACTGAAAGAATGGGTTCTGGCCTCTGTGACTATATGATCCTATAATATGACTCAAGATATATGTATGACATGTTCTCCCTCTGTTCTTTTTTTTGTTTTTTTCCTCCTGTATTTTTTCATTTACTTGTATATTTTGTTATGGATTATAAATTCTGCAGTCTGTCCCCATGATATAAAAATGTGCCATGTGTTCCTGTATCCTGGAAACAATAATATACGTATGTCATGTACCAAGACTTTCAAAAACAAATTAACAAAAACAAAAACCAATGCCAAGTATGTACCAAGGGTCTGTGGAGCAGCCTTCTTCCAAACGAATATTTCCAACACTTTCTAGTTCCATCAACAGAAACTGGACAGTATACGCCATCATGTTTGTGGCTTGGGCAAAATCTCGCTCATACCAGGCTTCAATCCTGAATATAGAAGGAACATTATTTTATCACATTAGTATCTTTAATCAGATGGAACATATACTGTACATTATGAGACTTAAATTGTGTAAAAAACTGTGAAGTTGTATCTGTATCTTATTCAAATATACAGACTCATTCAGCCTCCTCGTCCATAGCAGCAGTCTCTCCCTCAGCGCTTCAATCTTGCTGAGTATTTTGTGCTCCATGGCAGGATCACGACTGATGTCAGTGGTTGGGTCACTTCTGTCGGCCGAACCATCAACCAGGTGGGTCGATCCATCCTCCAACGTGCAGGCAGACTTCTTACATGTAGCCGGCCCCTTGGAGAGCTCATGTTCAAGCTAGGTGTGCATTCAAATGAAAACAGCTCTCTTAACAGTGTATAATAACAGCAACCTGCAGCTGGAGACAACAGCTATATGACTTATCCTGTACTCTTGTTACAGCTGCTGAAACAATTTTAAAAATGTCTCAAGGATTGTACATACATTCTTGAGGGCGTGATTGACTGTTCTGATGCATTCTTCAGGTAACTGTAACATAGTTTTCTTCCTCTCTGTCAGGCTGAGCCGGGTCTCTGCCAGGTTCCTCTGAGCAGTACGTACACGCATGTTGTAGTACATCATTTTCTTCATTACTGTGGACTAAAACGACACACATAGATGCAACACATGTATTACATACTTTTTATATAGACAGGCGTTGTTCAAACCTACAGAACCTCATTCTGTTACTTGATATCTCAATGAGGTTTCCAACACTATTAAATGTGATCAGTTAAATTAAAGGGAAATGTGAATTTCTGATAAATTATCTTGAATTTAAGAAATGTATTAAGAAATGATGTTGCGGATTTGAGTATTTCACTCATTATACGTACTGATTTGTAACTGAAGCCCTAGAACAAGCAAATGTTATATTTGTTTTACTATCTGTGAAGCTATTATTAGAAATTTTAGCAAATCACTTGACATTAATAAAAATAATTTGTATGGTTTCAAGAGCCAAACAGAAGCTCAGCTGAGCTCAGTTAGTCTAATGCAGCGGTGCTGCTGGTCTTCTCAATACCTCAGCTGCTTCCTTGACTTGCTTGCTTGAGACATCATAGGTGTCAAGTCGCTGGAGGCCTGGCATGTGGTAAAGAACGTGTGTGGCATAGTTACACAGCAGACACACTGGGTTTGGGGTGGACGTGGGGTCCTTCAGTGCTAATTCTCTCAGGTGGGGTAAGCGGGCAAGCCAGGTGAGCTCCTGTTACGACAACACAACACACAAGCTAGTTCATTAATAGAGTTTCTCTTAAAGGACTTGACTAAGACGCAAGGATACTTATTTTCAGGTGATCATACTGTCGATGATTTGGCAACCACTGGAGACAAGACATTATTAAACATTATTTGCCCAAAGTAATACTCCATTAACTGTTGCATTAACAGTAATTATAGATTATAAATGGATAATAAAGATATGATTGTGTAATGCAAATTTACCTTTGTATATCTATATACTTTGTATATGTAAGCTAAAAAAAAAATTATTGTAATGACGAAGGAGCAAAGGCTTCTTTTTCTTTGATTCGACAGTTGTTGCAGTGAATAACAAGAATTGCATTCTTTGAAGACTAACTGAGTTGGGACAAAAGGTGGATTGCAAGAATATGATCTGAGGTGTCAATGCAATCAAAGCTTGAGCCACCAAACTTTTATGTGTTTTCTGTCGGAATGACCTTGACAATGAAGACAATGATTCAGTGTAAATTCTGAATGTATAACTGACTAACACAAACCTACATATAAAACAACTCTTACATAGTTTTTTAGCTTTCTTTTTTTTTAATAGATGCAATGGATGTATATCATTGAAATTATGCTGCTTAATAACTCAATGAAGGTCTTGTGCAGCCAGTGCATTGTAGAATTGATTAAAAATCTGAACTGGCTGAGACCCCGACATTTCACAAATATTTCTAAATGCCCTTTCTTCAGACCAAGGATTTTAATAAGATTTTTCAAAATAAGCAGGAAAACTTTTTAAAGAAAGAATTTCAAAAGCACATTTCTGATTTTAATCTTACCTTAAAGGAACGTATCTTGTTCCCGGACAGATTAAGATTCTGAAGGTTGACATTAGGATCAAGGCTATGCCCTTATAAAAGAAGTTAAAAATGTTTTGATAATTATTTTTTTCAAACAGCTCACTGAATCTCAATCAAACTTGGCACAGAAAATACACAGGATTCTTAAAAACCTACCAATCTTTTCAATATTGTTGTCAGCAAGGTTTAGTTCTTTGAGGTTTTGAAGCGTGTTCAAACCCTTTAGAAAAAGAAACAACCACACATAATAGACGAGTGAGTGAGAATGCTAAAAACATTCATAACAGTCATAATTACAGATATAACAAATTGTGTAAAATGCTGTTTTTGCGAGCCAGATTAACACATATTGTAGAATGTAAGATAAACCTTCATAATTCACAGTTCAAACCTGTATCTGAGTAACGCAGTTATTGTTGAGCCACAGGACTTCAAGGTTGATCTGCAATTCTAAATTATTTATTTCACAGATTTGGTTATCATAAAGGTAGAGTTTCTCTAGCTGTAAACAATTCTGTAGTCCAGATATTTCCTGCAAAAAGAGAAGATGGGACAAATTAATGTTTAATATATGACATATGCTGTACAATTCACTTATATAGTTTACTGTTTTGCATAAACTATGGTTTATTGTCCATAAATTGTGACACATGAATGCAAGATTTGTTGTCATTGGATGCCACAGAGGGGAAAATTGTGATCAAAGCGTCTAAAGTTTACCTCTGTAATAAACAACAATCACTCGCAGTATAAACCACAGTGAACTGTAATGATTCAAGGGATTACATATTATTGTTATCAACACTGACGGCATTGATTATTAGAAATAGTACCAGCATAACTGACTTACTGTCAGATGGCACTGGACTACCCAGAGCTCCTGAAGCAGGGGACAGCACTCGAGTGCTTCAATGTGTTTTATGTTCTGGCTCACTACAGTAAGCTGGCAGAGCCGTGGGAAGAAGGAAAGCCCAACCATGCGAGGAAAACCAGAGAAGAAAATCTCCAGGGAGCTGATGTTGTTTCCTTCTTGTGCAATTTTTTCATAGGACACTCCATTGGCCAGGCACTGTTGAGAAATCATTCATGTGACAGATTCATTTATATTTAGCTAGGCCTAATCATCGTCAGTGAAGATAATACAAGAAATTATATATATGTTTTATTGTTCAGCAGTTACTGGGTGAGATACTATTATTTTAACCAAATGAATATGAATGTCCTACTCACCAGCTCTTTGACCACCTCCTCGTCCCCGCGGTGCTTTTGTTTCTCACTCTGTATCATGACTTTTCTGTCTTGAAATGAACTGCAAACACTAAGTAACAAGAGTTAGTTAGTTTTCCCTTACACTGCATGCATCCTGCCTTAGTGTACTAATAGTCTACTGGGAGACTAAAGAAAAAGCCATGGCAATTACACTGCCACATGGTAACTAAGAACTGAGGTTAGTAAACACACTCACACTAAATGTCGCCACACACACATTCATGCTAACTTCACTAGCCTCTAAACTTATTGTGCAACCTTAAGCGCAGATATAGGAACTATAACGTGCCAAAAAAAAACAAACAACATTAACATAAAACATGTCAAATTAAACCTCGCATTGGCGGACAAAAACAACACAAATTTCCCACGACGAATGACATAATACCTGCGGCTCAAGCACAAACCGTGTGGCCCATCTGAGTGGAGCAGTGTTTGTCTCTCCCCTCTGTGTCCAGGCAGGAGCTTCTGGTTGCTAGGGAGCCATGTTGAAACTTTTGGGGCCTTTTTTCATATTTTGAAGCAACCACATGATGGCGCCACACTGCAAGGTAATTTACACACAACACCTTTCTCTGCTTCATAATATAGGCACACTTTTTTTTTTTTTTAAAGCACTACACGTGAAATTCTTGCTCTTTCTTCCAAACATTAGTTGGTATTATTGATCGGGACATCCCGTTTTCTTTATTACCCCCCCCCTCCCCTCCACATCTCTCTCTCTCTCTCTCTCTCTCTACTCTCAACCTCCAAGAGGTCACGAATATATCCACCAGTTATCACCCCACAAACCAAGCACCATTTCTGGCCCCATTCCACACCCGTCAAATGTCAAACCACTCGACTCCATCAAAGGTGAGATGCCCCCCCTGTCAGCGAGAGGTGTGGACCCGCGCTCCCAAAGAGAGAGTAATGCCTGAGCCCGAGCACTCCACAGCCAGACAGCCCCCTGTCCAGCCGGCGAGCACAGGGGAGAGTTAAGTGAAATCAAATCAAGCCCCCGTCCACTACCTCTGTCCTGCTTTTCGTTTGGCTCCAGGCGACGAAGAAGAAAAGCCTAACCCGACGACCGCGAACCATATTACGAGCCGCCCGGCCTTCATCAGTGGTTGTAGGTTCTCTTTAGTTAAATATGAAATTAATTGCCATAATAAAACACCTGTTCTATACGTACAAACCCTCTCTTTTCTCATGTACCGATATAGTTGACAGCACAGAGTGTCCCGACAAACCCCGGATCTCAAGCTGGACATATAGAGAGCGTTGTTCGCGCGAAACACCACATGAAAAGATGGCATAAATGTACATTGAAACCATCATCGGGAACATGTATGGACAATATAAAGTGTGTGTGTGTG